AATTTTATTAAAATATAAAAGTTTGTTGTATCGAGAAATTAAGTATGAATAGATGTATATTGTTTTTAGAACAGAAAGTTGTAAAGAAGAAGTTTAATTAGAAGTTTAAGAGCTATTAGTTTAGTAAAATATTGAGAAAAATTGAATTGTTTGTTAGAGAAAAGTTGGTTTTAGTGATCTATAGAAAGAGTTAGGTAATTTGCGTCCTATTTATTGACAATTAGTTTACCAACTATACAATTTACCAACAATCAATTTACTGACAAGTTTATTTTATTAACAATACAATGCACTGACAGTCATTTGATCAACAAAGTAATTCAGTTCATTATTGTTAGAACTAGCTTAGAATTAGAGTTAAGATTAATATAATTTATAAAAAAAAAACCTTATAAGTGAATTATATTATTAAAAAATTCTACTAAAACTAATTTTTGATAAAATAAACTAGAATCAATTTTACTGACAATTATTTTACTGATAATCTATTTTACTAATAATTAATTCAACAACAAGTTTATTCTACCAACAGTTCAGCAAAATAATTTTTTTATTTTTATTAAAATCATATTAAATTAGAGTTAAAGTTGGTAAAAAAAACTTGTTAAAATAAAATAGTTGGTAATAAAATAAACTTGTTTGTAAAATAGTTGTCAGTAAAATAAATCAGAATCTACAAAAAAGAATTAAACTACATGAAAAAAGCTTACAAAAATGGATCAGTTTATAAAAATACCTTATTAATTTTTTATAGCAAAATAATAAAAAAATTAGTTGAAAATTATAAAAATATTATTATGAATATGAATTCAATGATAAGCTTATTTGCAGATAATAAATATATAGCTAACTTCACTATGTAAAAAAAAGTAAAGATAATTAACATGATCATTGAGATCTGTATTGTTAAAGGAAAACCTGGTTAGTGTTATTGCACACTGATCATCAAAACACTTATTTCTTTTAAAATTTTTATTTTAAAAATAAAAAAATTAAAAAACTTAATTCTGATTAGAAATTAGTAAACAGTTATATAATATAGGCTGAAATTTTTATATCTATGCTTGTTAACCAATCAAAATTGAGGAACTGATAGAAAACTATATGATCTTATTAATACATTATACAAGAACTTAACTCTAATTGGCTGCAAAATTTTGACTAGTGATTTAACTACTATTGCTAAACCTATATAGATTACCTACAAGATTTTTCCAGTATATAACTATGGCTTGTAAGCAATAGTCAAATTTGTCTTAATATGTAACTAAGCTACATTCAAATTTGTAATGACTACTTTTATTCAGTTATATTATAAAGTTCAAAATATATTATAACTTCACTTTTTACAATACTAATTTTAATTATATAATAATTTCATAATATTTGTGAAAACATAAAATTTTAATTTTATATTATTTGTGAAAGATATAAAATTATTAATTTTGTAATAGACAAAATTATATTACTGATATAATTAAATTCTCAAATACCAAAATGTATTTAATTTTTAAAATAATACTAAGACAGTTTTTAATCAACATAAAATCTTGAAATAAACAGATTTAATATCAAAAACTATAGATTAAATAAGATAAAGAAGCTTGCCAAACCAAATCCTTAATAATTGTTTTTTACTATTGCTATTAAGTAACTATGTATTATTCTTGTAAAATAATTTCTAAACTTGTAGTAATTTAGCTATAAAGATTTTCAAAAGTTCTTTTTAAAAAAAATTATTTAAGTTAATTTTATCAATGAAATTATTTTTCTAATAGTTAATAATTGTTACAAAGGATTCTAAAATCATAAAAAATTTTATCTAATTTTAGAATCATTTGTGGCAATAAATAATTTATAAAAAAACAACCTATGCTAGTATATACTGAAGTAAAAGATAAAGAAAATGCTCTTTAATATACTATTTAAATTATTTATAAACTTTATAAGCCTCTTGCAATTGAACAGCAGATGAAAGATATAATTACAAAAAAATGATGTTTATACATATTTAGCAATAATGCATGTCTTTTAAAATATATAACCAAATTTATTACATATATCAGATATTGTATAATAATGCACTATTAGATATTATTTCACAGTTATATTGAATTATTAATTACATTTTAGGAGGTAAACTTGTTAGTAATAATGCATTTATTAAATTTCTTAGTAAAATTTTGAAATTATAGACCATTTCTGTAAAATATTAGTTTATTATTTTCATTATAACTTATTATGAAATTAAAAGATTATTAAAATCATTTTAATCTTTTTGAGTCCATAAAACATTATTTGCTGGTCATTATCTTGCTATGTTCTTAGAAAGGTTCTTCTGTTTTCTAGTTTTTCACATTTTATCATCATTTGTTCTAACTCTTTTATTGCTTTTTCTGCTTCTAATAGAAATTATAAATTTTTATACTCTTCTTAATGTCTTAGCATGCTTGATTATTCATAAGTTTTCTCTAAATATGAACATTAACCTCTTCTTATAATTCATCTTTAGCAAAATTATTTGTTTTTTTAACTACTTTATTATTAATATTAATCATATTTTTATCAAATTCATTAAATTTCTTATCTACTTTTTTAGATTTATCAAGTTGCTTATTTACTTCATCAATTTCCTTAACTGATTCTAGTTCATCTATTATCAGAATTAAACCTTTATGTTTCCAAAAAGGTGAAGATATATAATGTTTAATCTTATTAAAAAATGTGAACTTAATGGATAAACTAATTGGACTAAGTGTTTGCATAAGAGAAAATAATCAGTAAAATATACTGAACAAGAGCAAGTTTAGTTTTTTGGATTTGTTATATATAAATTATTGCTTAATGACTTTTTCAAATGCATTTTTTATATACATTTAAATTTGAATGCCATGATGCTAATTCTCTTATTCAATAATTTATTTGTTGTAGTTGTTTTAGTTTAATTATATATCAAGAAAGTAAGTGCTCAGCAAGAATCCATAGTAGTAAGTCAATTCAAGACTTATTAAATTTATAAAGATAATCATGTTTTATAAGTCTCAAATGTGATTCTACAATTATGATTGTTTTTAAAACTAAGATTTCTTGTTTTGCACTTTATGCTTAGTTGGGTATTTTAATGAGCTATACTATTGCAATCAAAAGTATAACTATATTCATTTAAGATTATTTTCTTTGCAATATAAATATATTTCTTTAACAGCATTCTTATAAATTTGTTTTTTAGTATAATATTGCTTATTATATACCAGAGAAAAAGGATGTTGATAGAAATGCTTGGTTATAAGATCAATAATATTGTTATGATATTCAGTAGAACAAAATATAAATGCTATTTTTTTTGGTCTGTCTTGAATGACTGATTGTATTAATTGATCTATATTTTGTTTACTATTTTCAACTTCAGGTTGTAACAATACAATATTAGAATAAAAATCTAGATCTATAAATAAAAACTCAGCTTTTGCATTTATTGCAGAATATAAGATATTTTTGGTTTTTTTGTTAATGCTAATTGCTTTTTTATTGCATATTTTAAATGCAAAATAGCAAAGCTGAATATTGGCTTTTTGCCATATTCTTTTTACTGTTTGAATTTGTATAAAATCTTTATCTGTTATAATAAAGGCTTGATTAATTTCTTTATTATTTAATTCATTAAATAGCCACATAATCATTTTGGTGTGAATTTTATCATCAATTGTAGTTGCAATCATTAAAAGCATATATGTTAGTAGAAATCAAACTCTATTAAACTTAGCAAGCACAGAATATAATTCAAGATTTATTCAGTTTGTATTATCTAAATTATAATATTTATATTAATAATTAATATTAATTTATTCTTAAAAAAAATAAAAAATAAAAAAATAATAAATATTAATTTGGTGTGACTTAATTTAATAACAATCAACTTGCCAATACAACACTTTACTAACAATCAATTTATCAACATGTTTGTTTTACAAACAATCAATTTACTGATCTCAATCAATAGAAAAGCGAACTTAATTGACAAGCTTATTTTAATAACAATTAATTCATCAACATTTATTTTGCTAACAATATTGAATCATTGGTGAGCTTATTTTACTGACAATACATTTTACTAATAATACATTTCACTGATGAGCTTATCCAATAATTAGCTTGAATTGATATAATAAAAAAATTAAATTAGTATTAAATAAACAAAAAATCAAGTTATTTATACAAAAAAAAAAGAAGCAATCAATACTTGACCTAATTTGTAGCTATGCAAATACTTATTCCTAACTTGAATTTATGTAATAAAAAAATAAAAAAAATTAGTATTGAGCAAAAAATCAAGCAATTTATACAAAAAAAAAGAAAGAAGCAATTGATACTAGACCTAATTTATTGCTATGCAGACTTATTCCTGACTCAGATTTATGTAATAAAAAAAGATAAAATTAGTATTGAGTAAAGAATCAAGCAATTTATACAAAAAAAAAGAAAGAGGCAATTGATACTTGACCAAATTTGTAGCTATACAAAGACTTATTCCTGACTCAGATTTATGTAATAAAAAATAAAATAAAATTAGTATTGAGCAAAGAATCAAGCAATTTATGCAAAAAAAAAGAAAGAAGCAATTGATATTTGACCTAATTTGTAGCTACACAAAGACTTATTTCTAACTCAGATTTATATAATAAAAAAAAAGGTAAAATTAGTATTAAGTGAAGAATTAAGCAATTTATGTAAAAAAAAAGAAGAAAAAAGCAATCGATACTTGACCTAATTTATAGCTATGAGAAAATTTATTCCAAACTCAGATTTATGCAATAAAAAAAAAATTAGTATTAAGTGAAGAATCAAGTTATTTATAAAAAAAATAAATAAATAAAATTTAATTTATTCAAAAAATTTAATTATAAACTATTTTAAAAATATCTAAATTGTAATGTTATAGTTAAAAAGTGGGTTGAACTATAGTATAGGTAGGCAAATATAATTATTATAAAATAATAATATAAATAACTAACTATTTTAACTAATTTAAGGGTAAGGAGTAGTAGTTTAAAATTATATATAAATCTAATGGTAATTTTTTTTTATATTTAATTTTATAAAATATTATATTAAGTAAACTAATTTTAATTTATAAGAAAAGTTTGTAGAGTAGGTTTTTCCGATTCTAATGATAGTAAAATCATTAATATTGAGTAAAGACTCAGGATAATATGAATGATTTTTTAAAGATTAAGTATAAAAATTTATTAATTAAGTTAACTTATAGTATTACATAAATTAACCAATCAAATTTAATAATTTTGTATAACCCTGGCAAATTTTGGGGGACCCTAGAAAACTTTGTAATATATACAAGTATGTTTTTTTAAAATAATACAATACTTCAAAATTTTACTATAATAGATAAATAATTTTATTTATAATATTATAAAATTTTTTTATTGATTAATTAAAAAATAAAAAATTTTTATTAGTAGCATATATCAATTTTAGATGAAAATTTTAAAATACCATACATTTCTATATAGAAATGATCTACATTACCCCCTACCCTTAAGTTTAATTAGAGTTAGAGTTAGGATTAGAGTTAAAATTAGGTTTATAGTTTAAATTAACTTAAAATTGATAGTTTTTATATTGTTATTTTATAATAATTATAATTTTCAACTTATACTATAGAAGATCTTTTTAAAAATTTGTTATATTGTGAGTTTATTAGCAAATTCACTATATTAAAAGAACTTTTACAATAACAGAGTTTATTATAATAAAATAACTTGTAATTTTGACTAAATGAACAATATAAATAAAGTATAAGTATAAAATTTTTAATTAAACATAGAAATAAAATGATAAAGCATAATAGAAATAAAAATAGAAAAAATTAATAAATTTTAAAAATCAAAAAGGTAGAATTGATATGTCATATAGCACTTCAGAGTATGTGTCTGAAAAAAAAAACTGCCTAGGTTATATATCTGAAAGAGGAAAAAAAGAAAAGTAGAATTGAAAAGAGCAAATTCTACAAAGAAATATTATGGGTTATCCCTTGTAAATATTTTATGAGTGACCTATTGTCACAATTATTAAATACTAATTGGATACGTAATTCATATTTAATAGTTTGTCTTTTCTGTGGTGGTTTTAGTGCACCCTATAAGATGGTTTTGATGCTGAGCTGAACCTTATTTTGCTCTTTTTGTATCTCTTTAATGATTTTAAAAACACCAACATATGTAGAATTTACTAATGTTTCTTATCTTCTATGCCAAGCCTCGACAGAATTCTGAGTTCGAAAGTATGCTAATTCAACATTACTATGTACTGACCAAAATTTGGGTAGAAATAGTGGCTCGGCTCTAATCACATTACTATTTTTATATACTCACCTAATTTTGCCATGAACATAATATTCTTCAAACCATTGAACAACTTTATTGGCTTTAGCTGAAATATTAGATTTTAGTTCATCAAATGCCTCTGGTATTTTATTATAGAGTAGGAATGCAAGAGCAGGAATGTGCCTAATTAGCAAGCTGAAAGTTTTATTAGTACCATATTGTATAGAAAGATCAGAAGTCTGAACTTTGCGATAAACACTCTGAGCCAAATAGAAATGGCATCCTATACTTTGAACATTTTCAAACTCCAATCGAACAGTGTTTATAGCAGCTATTTCAAAATCTGTCAGGACTATTTGTGGATATAAGTCAACATTGTGCAATTCTCCAAAATCTATCAACTCTTAAAACAACTCTCTATATGATTCTTTAGATTTACTAGTCATTAACGAAAATGCCAATGGCATAATTCTGGAATTATCTCTTCTACCAACACACCCTAAAATAAAGCTATTTATGTAGTAAAATCACAAATTACACAATATTTATACAATATTTAATTAAAACAAACAAACAAAAAAAAAAAAAAAAAACACATGCTATGAATAGTATATAATTGCTTGAACATGGTAGGAATGGTCTTAAATATTCCATTCATGATCCAAAATGGGGATCGATTTAGATAACGGATACTATCAGATGTAGTAAAAATTGGAATTCTATTATGACCTACAATAGAACCATTAATCAGAAACTCTTCTTCATTCAAAGTTTTTTTCAAATGCTTAGGAATTACAAGACTCTCTAAAGACACTGGCTCTGTAGGAAGGTCAAGGTGCCGAGCCCTTTGAATGATTTGTTGAATTGCATTAGATGATGGAAGATATGGGTATATATATTGTGAGGTGTCAGTGATTGCTATTTGCATAATTTGTGTTGATTTATCATTAGTTTCTTGCACCTGCTTCTTGATTTTAGCAATTGTCTTTACAACAACTGATTGGCTAGCCTCTGCTGTGTGATTATGGTCTAACACATTTTTAAGATAATGTTGATTGTCAATTAATTTCATTACAGCACACCCACTACAGTTAAATATGTCCTGCTTCTTACAATACTAGTAAAACATATCTTTACGACTTTTATCTTTATTCATTAAATGTCCATAAACGTTAAGTTTATCTTTGCTGCGAATTGAAGGAATGACTTCACAAATAATGTTATTCATTTTACAGTATAGATAAATATGACTATGTAAGGGAAAGAATTTATATTTTAGTTAATTCTAGGCAAACTATGATGAGTGTTACAAAAGGAAAACTCCAAAATTTTATAAAAATTTTGGGTTTTTCTCTTTGCAGCACTCTTATAAATTTATAATTATATAATTATAAATTATTAGCATGAAAATTCTTGTAATTTTACCTTATTAGGTGTAATATGCAATAAAAATGTATGACTCTGTGATTTTACAAGATATTTTTATTTAATTGTTTCTTTATTGAATATTTGACTTTCTTATTACACATACTTAATTGTCTATTTTTATTAAATATTTGATTTTAGATTTTTTTTTTCACACATTCATCTTACAATAATTTGAATTTTTATACGCAAATTTGATATTACTTTATGTAAAAATTTCTCAGGACAATATGATATCATAGCAACTTTCTTATTACAGGTACTTAATTGCCTTTAAGATATTTGATTTTAAAACATCTTTTTTTTCACATGTTTGTCTTAGAAAATTTTGGATTTAAGTTACTTAATTATTACGTATATCTTACTATTAGTATTATTTTAGCTTTAGGATGATATCATTGTCACTTTCTTATTACAGTTACTTAATTATTACATACCGGTACATCTTGTTATTGGCTTTATTTAGCAATACATTATAAAAAATTAATGAATTGCTAAATAAAGCATTTTATATGAATATTAATTTTTAGAGAACTTATCTTATTTAGGCACCA